TATTTGTTTTAAAAAAGTATAATTGTAAAGTATATTTAACTGATTTTCTTAAAAGTGTTTTATAATTTGAGATAAAGAGATTATTAATTAATGTCATCATTATTTACAATAAATGAGAATTATATATTTTTCATTTAATTTTAATTTCATCGATCTCGTTGCCCCCATATACTAAGTAATTTGGGTTTCGAAAGTCATCTAAGTGCAAAGTACTACTAATTCGGCTGACACAGTAGACAATGAAAAAAAAAATTAAAGAAGCCTGAAGAGCGATAAATAATGAAGAAGAATCTAAAGTCTGGTATGAGAATTTGTTAATTATATACGCAGTTAGCAATCTGTCAAGTGTGGAAATAAAATATGTTATCAAGAATGAGATATGAAAAGAAGAGAAATGGAGGGAGTAATTTTCAAATCCGTGACCCAAACAAACATTAGAGTGCGATGACCACGCAAGCGGCCAGTCATCATGAAATAACGAATATTCAAAAGAGAGGGCCCAATGTAGCATTACGCGTGTGACTAATAATGCTGTACTTGTAAATAACGTTTTCTCACTTGTTGGCATTCTGTTCGTTTGTTCACACTTCACAGATTCTTTTCACATGGGTGATGGGTTCCATCCTATTTCCGTTTTTCGTCTCTCTCTATTAGCTCTATGAGTGGGACATGCACAATAGCAAGTGGCATGAAACCTTCCTTTGATACGTGGAAAAATGGAAAAAAGAAAAAAGGTGAGAGGTTCCCAGTTGTGTTTGGTAGGTAAGCAAAGTTGGTTTCTTGAAAAAAATAATCGGCTTTGTATTTTTTTGGTAAAGTTCTATTCTTTATAATTTAAATTTTAAAAATCTAAAATAATAATAATTAATATTTTTCTAACTTTATCTCTTGTTAGTTTATTATCGTTTGAACTTTTAAATAATAATTTATATTAAAGTATACATTTAATCTTTTAATTTTATAAAGTGTCATTTTAGTTCATTAACTCTAATATTATTAGTTTTATCTTGATAAATTTTTACATTGATCTTTTAAATATTGATAAAATATTCTCAAATGTTAATATATTAAGGTTAATTTTTCAAAATAACCATGATGAAAAAAATAATCACTTGAAACTAAAGATGTGAGGATTAAAGGATTAAAAAGATACCTTATAAAATTAAAGAATTAAATTAAAAACTTATATAAAGTTAAAGGACTAAAAATATACTTTAGTTCAATAATTTATTATGATTATTAATTGTAAAGAGTGATTAAATTGAAAATTTACATACTTTCTTAAACAATTTTAAATATATAACTATTATTTTTTAATAAGTGAGAAATTAGTTAAGTTTACCTTATATATTAAAGACTGGAGCAATTATATATATATATATATATATATATCTTATGTTTTAAAATAATGGTCAGAATATAACTTATGTTTTAGGATCTTGCTAGTAATTAATGATTTGTTGCAACCAAAAAAAAAAATGATAACGATGTGCTAGTATTTACGGTGGATTACGGCAACATGGGGAGCCCTATATTTATTAAAGAAATATTTGAAAAAGGAAAAATGGATTTAAAACATTTAACTTATATTGATTATCGGAGAATGCATTTTCTTTTCCATTCTCATCTTGTAATAAATGGATAGCCTGTTTGGGTAATTTATGTTAAACTTTTAGAAAGTGTTTTGAATCAAAGTTAAAATTTTGTTGAGTAAGAAAATGGGAATGAAAGCTTTCCAAATGCGTTTGAAAGATTTGACAATGTAACTTTAGGTAATTTTTGAAACTCACATTTGGGCATTTGATATTAATGAGAGAGTTAAATATGTATTTAATTTTTTATTTTACCACCCTGCCCCTTCTCTCACTTATATCTCTTCTTTCCTATTTTTTAGTTGAGCTGACCAGAAAGAGAATGGAAAGGACCTCATGGGAGAAGACAGAGGGATAAAAGAGTGGGCAATAGAAATAGTTATCAACATAAAATATTTGTGATCCAAAATTATCCATGTAAAATATTAAAAAATGTAATAAACATAGTTATTAGTAAAAAAGTTAATAAATCAATTTATTTCTTGAACCTGGCTTTAGGGAGAATGATAATTAATAACCCAAAAAAATACTAATACAAAAACAAGGACCTGTTAATTGTTGAATTTTCAAAATTTATAACTCAAAAATATATATTTATAATTTATCACATATTTTTTCAAATCATAAAAATCAAGAGAGAATGATAGAGAGGTTCCTTAAAGTCCCAAATGCCAAACTTTAGCGATTTGCAAGTTTGGCTTTCAATTTTATAATTTTGTTGTGATAAATTTATAACTTGTATTTTAAATTTTAACAGGAGAAATAAATTTATTTATTCTTTAATCATGTAAAAATTTTAAAAATAAGTTGTAAATTCATTAAAATGAAATTACAAAATTGAAAGATGAACTTATAAATCTTTAAAGTTTGATACTTGAAACTTAATTTGAATTAATTACTTTTCTTGAGACCTATTTGTCATTCTCCCTAAAATCAATGTTTTTTTGAGTAATGCCCCATTCAAAAACACTTTTCAATATATATAATTCAAATAATTTTTAGTTTACCGGACTGATTTTTAAAAAAATATATTCAAACATAATTTTTTTAGAATAATTGACTCTTATTAAATTAATTTTTATTAAATGAATTTTTTGAACAAATGATTTTTGACCAAGAAAAAATCAACACACACCCAATATTAGACGCATTCAAACTTAGAGGTAGAAACTAGAAAGTGAAATCACCTTTTGTTGTATTAGTGGAATTAACGGCACGAGTTCCACAGATTGTGTGCATACTCCACAGATATCGTTTCCTTGTAAAACCGACATTTTAAAACAGTCATATCATATGGGAACTTTGAAAGCATCTCCACCTTGTCTTCTAAAACCCATTATTTCTGCTGAAACAAACAAATGAAGAAAAAATGAAAAGCATCTCCACCTTATCTTCTAAAACCCATTATTTCTGCTGAAACAAACAAATGAAGAAAAAGTGAAAAGCATCTCCACCTTAGCTGGGATCACGTTTGATCCCAAGTGCAGGTGGTTCGATGAATCTCGGTCAACTGCATTAACCCTCTTTTTAATTAAAGTGTATCTGCATTAAGACTTTCTTTATTTTGAGCAATATTTTAATGTAAAACTTTTTTTTAACACACACACACAAAAACTTCAACAAATCATTAATTCGCTTTCCATATCTACTATAACTAATTTGTAAGCCAGATGTGATGTAGGTCAATAATTTTTTTTTCTAATGTATGGAACACTGTTGACACCTACAGACAACACTTCATCAAAATGATTGTTATTCTGTTAATCAAAAAATAGAGCTCAACAGGAGGATTTGATTCTAGTTAGAAAGGTATCTGCTTAAACATGAGGCATGCATAGATTTCAAATCCATACAAATGTAACAAAAAAACAACATTGTTTTAAATATTTATTTTCAGTTTGCCTCAACAATACTCGAATGTGACATATTAATGCTCCATATGATATAGCTATATAAAAAAAAACATTTAAAAAAATAGAGCCCATGACTTGGAAATTTCTCTGTGCTTGTGCTGAGTAGGTTCCTGAGAATATATTTGACGGAGGAAAAAAATATACCTTTTGGAATTTTAGTTATCGATTTTTAATTCATAGTATATCCATCATTTTCATTACATATATTAAATGCTCATTTAATACCCTAAATTTGTTTTAAAAAATGACTATTAAATTAAGGGCAAGTCTTTGGTGTTCAGCCTTATATATATTTTTATCCAATCAAATCAAAATAAATAATTTTTCATATGTTAATAATATTGATAAGAAAAGTTTGTTATATAATAAATAATCCATAAAATATGTACATGTCTTAATTTAATTAGAAACAAGTATCTTAAATATAGTATAAATTCAATTATATAAGTTTTTCCCTCAAATTAAACAGAAGTCAGAAAATGTAAAATCTATTATATCATAGTAAACTTGAATTCATGGTTATTATATATATATATATATATATATATATATAGTTTTAATGTTGTATATTTACGTCATGAAATAATAATTTTTCACACGCGCGTCAGCATTTCATTTGTCACTATATTTTCCATGTTTTATTTATTCCTTTTTACTAATTCTTCAAAGTATGTATTTGTTTCATTTAAAATTTCAGAGTTTCTGTCTTTTTTTTTATATAGCTATCTGACCAATTAAATTGGATTTTATCAAGTTCAATTAAAAGTAGCTTTCCTAAAAGTGATTTTGGCACTTTCATGAACTCGAACTCGAAATATTTTACTTCAATAGCCATAACTCCTCTCACTTAGACCAATATTTATTGGTAAATTCCAATGTTTCCACAGCAACAGTAGCTACTAATTAATTATAATACTGTTCAGTTTTTCTACATTGAAGGTTGAAAAAGTCCACGAAACATGCAGAGGCAACTAGCATAGAAAGCAATTCCAAAGATGGGTATACTCATGCCAATTTTCTATATATATCTTCTTTTCTGTTTCGTTGATATCTGTACTTGTAAAAATTGAATTAAATCATAATGCCAATATATGTTTAATAATCTCAACTGTAGTTACTATGAATATATAGTTTCCATTATAAAAAAAAATCTGGAGAAAAGATCATAAAATGTTGGTAATTAAAGAAGATTTTGATTTTTGTTTTTCCTTTTCTTTTCTTTTTTATTTTTTTTAGTTCAAAAGTAAACTCAAAAGGGTCAATTTTGTTCATCAGGCCGAAAAAGGCGTATTTTTAGAATGAATAAGTTTTTTTCCGTCTTATATTTATTTTTGAAATCAGTAATTATTTTTGTAGCATTGAACAGGACAATGAGTAGTGTGAGTTTCAAATGTTATTTTGACTGGAATGAGTTACCTGTCATGAGGTTTATAAATAAGAAGAACCCATTGGGCTGGTTGGGGTCATCTTTCTAGCTACACTTGTTTGAGTTAGATCTTGCAAGAGTAGCAATGAGTTTGATTAATCTAAATTTCCAGCTGAAAGCAATAATAATAGTGATGCTGCATTTGAAAATTGGAGATGCAAATGATGCTAGTTGCATCGAGGAAGAGAGACAAGCTCTTCTCAACATCAAGCATGCCTTTCTTGACCACTATGGCCGTTTGTCTTCATGGGGATCTTCTCCAGATTGTTGCCATTGGAGTGGCGTTCTTTGTCATCCTCAATCTGGGCACATTCAAATGCTTGATCTCCATGGTCTATCATTACTGGCACGATGGCAACCTTTAAGAGGTGAGATTAGCCCATCATTGATGGAGTTGCCATACTTAAATTATTTGAATCTTAGTTTTAATGATTTCAACGGGAGTGAAATTCCCAAATTTTTTAGTTCTCTCACCAAATTAAGATACCTTGATCTCTATGGATCTTCTTTTGGTGGAGAAATACCAATTGAACTTGGCAAACTTTCAAACTTGTGGGTTCTAAATCTTTCTTTCAATGGTTTAGTTGGGAGCATTCCTTTCCAACTTGGTAATCTTTCAAGTTTGGAGATACTTCAGATTGGCTATAATGATGATTTGAAAATTGATGACAAGAGTCTAGCTAGTATTGAGTGGCTTTCCAATCTTCAGTCTTTAACTTCACTTGATTTAAGTTGGGTGTCCAATCTTAATTACTCTAACAACTTGTTGCCAATTATTGGGAAGCTTCCAACCTTAAAAGAGCTACAACTATCCAACTGTAGCTTGATTGATATTAATATTCTATCAACTCCTCCATCTCATTTGAATTTTTCTACATCTCTTGTAACTCTTGATCTCAGTTACAACAAGCTCACGTCATCAATATTCCCTTGGTTGTTCAATTTAAGCTCCAATCTTGCAACACTTTATCTTTACGACAATCACTTAGGTGGTCCTCTTCAAGATGATTTTGGGAAAAACATGAATTCTTTAGTAAATCTCGACCTTTCACATAATGACTTAAATGGAACAATCAGTGATGTCCATGTTGATAATCTTACCAAGTTACAATCATTAGACCTATCATACAACTTGTTGACCCTCAAATTTAGCAACAATTGGATTCCTCCTTTTCAATTACAAAACTTATGGTTATTCCATTGTAAGTTGGGTCCTGGATTTCCCATATGGCTTCGCAATCAAAAGAATTTACAACGTTTATACATTTCTTATGCTGAAATTAATGATTCTATACCAAAGTGGTTTTGGAAACTTGAAACAAGGGTACAACATTTACATATAGAATCAAGCAATATCAAAGGTGCCATCCCAAATTTGCCACTTGAAGTAACTGAATATGTGAGAATATCATTGGTTTCAAACGAAATAGAAGGTTCAGTTCCACCATTCTTGCTAACGGCAACCTCTGTAGATATTTCAGGAAATCAAATTTCCAATTTTTCTCCTTCATGTGACAAGGGGACAAGTTCTTCAATTGTTGAAAACTTGGTAGCATTAAATCTCTCAAGTAATAAGTTATCAGGGAAACTTCCTGATTGTTGGAATGATTTCAAATCATTAAAGATTCTTGATTTATCCAATAACCAATTCTCTGGTAGGATTCCTCGTTCTATAATTTCCTTGAGTCAAATTCGACAATTGATTTTAAGAAATAACTACTTTGGTGGTGAGCTCCCCCTCTTAGAAAATGCAACTGAATTGACATTGTTAGATTTGGGGGAAAATGACTTGTCAGGACCAATACCACATTCATGGATAAGAGAGAATCTTAAAAGTTTGGAAATTCTTAGATTACGAATGAACAAATTGGATGGATACTTGCCAATTCATCTCTGTTATTTAACAAGTGTCAGAGTATTGGATCTCTCTTTTAACAAATTTACAGGACCTATACCAAGTTGCTTGGACAAGCTAGAGGCAATGACTAGAAAACATGTCTTCAACAACTCCATGAATATTATCAAATTTTTCAAAAATGGAAAATTTGTAGGAAATTATTGGTATGATTTGTTATTTCCTGTTATGTGGAAAGGAAGAGAGTCGCAGTACAAGGATCGCTATGGACTTCTAAATGTCATTGATCTCTCCCACAATCAACTAGTGGGGGATATGCCAACAGGAATTGGGAAATTGGTGGAATTGAAAGCCTTGAATTTATCAGCAAATAAATTGAGTGGAGAAATCATTTTAGAGATTGGACGGTTAAAATTATTAGAAGTTTTGGATCTATCGAGAAATCATTTTTCTGGGAAAATTCCTTCAAGTCTTGCTGAAATATCTTTTCTAAACACTCTGAATTTATCAAACAACAACTTGTCAGGAGAAATTCCTATTGGGACACAATTGCAAAGTTTGGACGCCTCTAGCTATAAAGGAAATCCTTACCTTTATGGAAGGCCACTAGACAAGCTTGGCTCTTTTGAAGAACATCCACTGGGGAATGGACCACAAGGTGATTATGTTGCTAATAAAGTTTCCCCTTTCACAAAAGGATTCTATGAGAGCTTGGGTGTGGGATTTGCTACTGGATTTTGGATAATCTTTGGCTCGTTGCTAGCTATTCGCTCATGGAGGCATGCCTACTTCAATTTCTTAAACAAGATGGCAGACTTTATTTATGTGACAACTATACTCTTTATGGCAAGATGGCATAGGTGGCTTCGCAACTAATTAAGGGTAATATCTCCTTACCTTGCTACCATGTTATTGTTATTTGCAAATATATGAGTGACTAGTTTTTTCTTTCTCAATTATTTATTGATAATAAGATTTAATTTATCTTTTTTATTTATTATTGACCTATATTGTTTGCTGCCTGGCTGCTATTATCAGTTGGAGCTTCTAATCAAGTGAGGACTTGGACTTATATGCAAAAGCTAAGGAATTCTTGTTGGAATTCTTGTTCATGAAAATTGATCTGATAGGACTACGTGTCATATATATTAGTGGATGTAATGTGTGATATGAGAATTTATATAAATTGTTGATTTAATCAAAATAGTCATCGTGGGGTTGAATTGTTGAAATACAATAGAATTAAGAGACGTCATTGGGGTGATGCCGTTTTATTAGTTTCTTTAGCTTTGAAATTACTAATTATTCATTGGTGTGAATTGTAATTTTGTTGTAACTCCATTGGCATGAAGCAGTTCATATATATATATAATATAATAATTAAATGAAGTAGTGTTCTATTTATATTTGAAGATTGGAAGATTTCTCGTTGTAATCTTGGTGGCAAACGAGAGAAGCACACAGCGTTGCAGGTCAATATATATATATATATATATATAATATACAACTTTTAGTCCATATATTTTTAGCATATTTTAATATTAATACTTATACTTATTTCGTTAATAGTCAATATTATAAATTTAAAATCAATATGGTAGATCTAAACGTGAATTTACATAATTTTAGCAATGATTCTCCAAATTTTACAAATTGATTTCCAAGTCAATTTTTTTAAAAGACATTTTATCTTATCCCTATATTTTCCACGTTTTATTTTGTTCCTTTTTTCTAACTCTTCAAAGTATGTGTTGTTGACTTTTTTTTCATTACGAATTTCAGCGTTTCTATAACATTTTACTAATTATAATACTGTTGATCAGTGTTTATATCAAGGTAGATAAAGTCTATAACGAGGTAAATAACTAGAAAGCCATTTGAAAGACGGATCTGCTAATTACCAATCTTCTCGGTCTTCTTTTCTATTTCGTTGATTTTTGTACTTATAAACATTGAATCATAATGCTAATATATATTAAATAATCTAGTTACCATGAATATATAGTTTCCTTGAAAAATGAAAAAAAAAACCTGGAAAAAGATCATAAAATATTGGAAAAGAAGATTTTTAATTTTTTTTTGCAATTTTTTTTTTCCTTTTTAACTGAAAAGTAACAAAATAGCTGGTAAAAAAAAATACTCAAAAGTAACAAAACAATCGAAAGGTCCATTTTGTTCGGGCTAGTTTGCGAATGCAATAATTAGAATGAATACCATGTTTTTTCCCGTCTTATAGATAACTAGATTTATTCCCCATGCATCGCACGGGTTATTTTAATATTAAAAGATAGAAATAGAAATAAAATAAAATAAAATATATAAATTTAAAAATAATTTATTTTGTGTGCTTGAAATATCATATTTAGTGTAAATAAGTTGCGTTTTTTTTAGTGTACAATATATTTGTCCAATATATCTCTCTTCCATAGAGAATCCCTATCTTACCATACACATAAGCATTAGTTTTTTTTTTAAAATAAAAACAACATTCAAATAGTGATAATACAAAGAGATAGGAACAGAATTACATCCTTTATTGTTTAGCAGTTATATTGTCGTATAAAGTACTGCAACCATCTCTAAGGAATCCAACAATTATTGTTGAGAAAGGGGAAGTGGATATATATTAAAAAAGCGCACAACCAAATTTTTTGGGAAAAAAATATTTATAACATACTAAGGATGCCAGCGTTGCCTATGCTGCATTTGCTAGATTAAAGATAAGATAATTGCTTACAGCAGAAATGATATGAGAAACAACTTAAGCCAAACTACTTTCTTTTCAGAATAAAGCGCTGAAGGCGTTTTTTTTTTTTTCAAAAAGAAATTAATGCCTTCATTCTATATAGAATAACATATGATTTCAGAGTTCAAATTACTCTGAATTTCCTTCATCATTTAAAAAACCAAGATAAAAAACAAACAAACACATAAACTTACCAAATGACTAAAAAAGAACACACCTAAATTATAAATAGATCAAGGATATTCAAGTACTAATGTTAAAATGATGACAAAAACTGATAATCTGGGGGAAAAATCCTTCAATCCAGCTTGAACTAAACAATCATAATAAATTATCAAGAACTTCATTCCAATCTAACAGAGAAGAATAACAATGTATCATGTAACCATGGATTTTCCTTCCGTTTTTAATAAAAAATAACCATGGATTTTCCTTCCATTTTTTAATAAAAAATAACCATGTATTTCCCCCTACCAGATTCAATGCAAGGCAGTCATAGAGCCCTCTAACAGTTCAATGTACTGAGGTTTTGCTCCTTTTATATGATACCCAAGCAGGTGCTTCATTAGCCAAAGCAACCCATATGGTGGGCCTCGTGTGAAATCATTTCCACATAATCTTTGGGTTTAATCTGTCAAAATTAATAGCAGTAATCACATTCACCACTATTTAAAACAAAAACAGAGAACTAATCAATCCATCCGAACAGCATATGTTGATTTAATCAAGAAACGATCACAAGCAGTCTCTCGAGATGTTCCAAATGTGGCACTTCCAGTAGCTTCAAGAAGACTACTAATAGAATCCCTAACTAAAGCTGCAATCCCACATTCATGCAAATTGAGGATTCGATAGAGGCCCCTTACTTTTGATATTTTTTTGGAACCGCAAAAGCATATTTGGAATAAGTTACTAAACTCGTAACAATGATATATTATAGCAAGCTTTAACTTTTCTGTACAAGAATGAAATTTCATGAGCACCATTTTTCCCTCACTGGGAGTTTGCACTCATATCTTTGGTGGGTCTAAAATTGATGCGTGATGGCTTCATTTTACACCACTGTTCTAAAAAGAAAAGCATGTGAACTTAGACCAAAAGCCAAAGTACCCATTTTACTATCTTCTTGTCTAATTTTTTTTTCTATTTATTCATTCACCTTGGTTTATATGAAGAAGAGATGAGACCAAGTATCATTTTATTTTATTGAATAAGTTTAAAGAGTGGAAGATCCTTGAAAATGAATTCCATGAATTACCATAACCTACTTGATTCAGATGAAAGTTAAAAATAAGACTAAAATGAAACATACGCAACTAAAGCTACTCAATTGCACTTTCTTGAAATAAAAAAACCAATAAGGTATCTCCATGCTGCTGCACTTAGTGGCTTACATGCCTACTTATCACATCAGCTAGAAGAAGGTAAAGTCCTACTAAACTCTCTTTCCCCTTGAGCTTAACTTCCTTGAAAATTGAAACATAAGCAAAACATCAGGAATGAGCCATCAATGTGATCATATGAACATGATTAACATGAATAATCTTTAATAAATAATCCATCAACTTATCCTACTCATATTTGGGGCAAAAGGCACACTTGAAGGTGGGGGCACTTACTAAGACAAAATAATATTTAATGATAGGATGATGAACAACATGTTGAACAAACGAATTCATCCCTTAAAATTCCAGTTTAAAAGATTTCATACCCCTTAATCAACAAAAAGGGCAAGTACCAATTTCACCTCCCAATGTTACTAACCTATTTCAACTTTGCTTCGATCCAGTAACAATATAAGCTTCTACCACACGGACAATATCCCTTTGATAATATTGAGCGAAAACAACTCATGTTATCAATAGTCAACTGAGGGGACCCATTAAAGTAAAAGGTTTATAAGAATAAAAAACTGGCATAAGGGGACCTAGTAACCTTTCCTGCTCGTGTTGATATGTAGAGCTTCTCAAGTTTCTGATGTTGTTGGAGCTCTATCTCATCAGTAATCACATTATCTGAACCTTCATACCCCCTGCCCCATACACTTTCAGAGAATATGAACTATCAATCGCCATCTAAAATTAAAAAAAAAATAGGAGTGATAAATGGGAAATACTTTATAAAAAGAAAGAACAAACCTTTAGTAAGAAAGTTACACTTACTTGCACCCACCATCCTTTTTTTAAACATTTGCAAGGATTAAAAGAAAAAAAGGAAAAAATCAGCATCTATAACAGGCATTTAGCTTGCATGCAATTTTTATGTCATGGTTATATGGCATAAAGCAAACAATAGAATTAAACTGTACATACATGTCATGCAAACAAGATTGTCTAGTGCCAATTTATGCATAAAACTAAGTTAATCCTCCTCGTTTGAGGATACACTCAGAGAGATGGATTGTTTTAGTAAGGCAGTAGAGCTTCTTCATGGTCTTCAATTTTATGATTGTTATTCATTGCTGCTGTTGTCAAAACCATCACATTCTTCAAGTTAAATGGATGGTATGAATCTAAACAAATTGTTCTTACCCTATTTTTCTTGTTGCTCTTATGCCTATTGCATTCTAAATCAATATCTTCAAGGCAGGGAATGACTTTAGTGTTTGCAGGAGCGAATTTCCCTGTGAATATTTTGCACTTACGGTCTAAATTTCTAATCAATATGGAAATCTGACAAGTTAATTAGGTTTCATAGACTTTAGCACAGGAGGCTACTTTGAAATAATCAACTCATACCAGGGACAAATGGTGAGGATGGAAAAAGATAGATAATGATTTAAAATTAAGATCAGATAGGAAAAACATTAGAAAGAAGGTGAAGATATTCGGATGGTTCCAGGAAGAATAGAAATGAAGTGTACACGGATTCAAACGGATGATTTATACCTGTGCCAAATTTTATACTGAAGAGGGTGAAGAAAGAAAATGACCATTAGTTCATACTCAAATAGTTAATATAAAAATAAAAAAAGTCCAATTAAAAAATAATATTCCATGAACTCCCAACTTTAATAGTAACCAAAGTAAGACTACTTATAGGTATGACACTCTTTCTTGTTTCCTATTTCTACAACAAAGTGTAGATATTTAAAACAATTCAAGATTGCTACTTGTAGATCCATAACGCCAAAGATGCAACAAATAAACTAATCCATTATGTATATCAAAAAAAAAAAAAACAAACCATTATATTACCTCTCAAGTTGGGTGCCCATCAACATCACATTCCGAAAATCCCATCAATATAAATAACCAAACAGTAATAGTTACAACTCTTAAGCGTCAACTGAATAACTGATTTCAAACATAACTAATATTGATTGTATGATAGGGATTAAAAAAGAGCCAAAAGTAGAATGTGATAAATCATCAATATATACCTGTAAAATAAGAATAGCCAGGCCATACTTAAACAAAATAGTCCTTAAATTCTAACATTCTAACTCATGTTAGATGAAGGATTTCGGAAAGGGCACAGTTAAGACATATCAGACCTGTCTTTAAGTTCCTGAACTCTTGCTTCAGACTGATCATCATGTGCAAGCAAAATGCTGGTAGCCTCTGGTTCCTTCCTCTTATTCTCCAATGAATTAGGTTTGTTGTTGAGACCATTGGCTTCTAGCTTATGGTTGTAAGGTCCTGATATTGCTCTGCTTCTCCCAGTGTCATCCATAAGATCTGACCTTCTGGGATATTTTTCAACAGAATGATTACCAGTGTTTTTTTTTTTAACACTGAATCCTTCCTTTTTAAGTTGTCAACAGCATCTACTTTATTTTTTTCAAAACCATTCTTGATTGACGAAGAATCTTTCTTACCATTCTCTAAAGAAACTAAGTCTTTTACATGTCCATTAGTTACTACAGGCTGCAAGGATACAAAAGAAGAGAAAAGACGCATTCCTTCAATATCTCACTCATCTAAGGTAGACCTTAATGAAGTTAATTAACATAAAAATGATTTTTTAAGTGATTAAAAAATTAAACCTTTGTTCATTTAAAACAGAAGAAAACTAAAATTGTTCTTATCCACGAAGAAAACAAAGAGAGAAGATTCACCGGTCATATTGGAACTAATTCCCTTAGCAGCCAAACAGATGGAAACATATGAAAGGCAAATGGAAATGAGATGAACCTGAGAGGCGTAGAAATAATAGTAGCAATAGTAGCCGAAGAAGAAGAAGAAAAGTAAGAGAGGAAACAGAGCTCAAGGCGAGCTAACTTGAGAAGGTTGCGGCGGCAAGAGTCAATGATCTTGGTGGAAGTAGGCAACTCTTGGATTCTATCAATCACGAACTTGCATCTCTTCTTCGCCGATTCCACTTCTGGAGTGGAGGTACGTACCAGAAGTCGGTAGTGGAGATTCCAGTGAAGGGTGAGCAGCTACAGATGCTTCCCCACCGTCGTCTGAGAAATTTTGATAGTCGCTAGTTGCTGAGTTTGATGTTTGATAAGTGAATATTTAAAATTAAATAAGTGTAGATTTTAATTTAAATATAATTATATTTATTAAGATTTTTATATTTATTTAATTAATATTTATATTTTTTATTATTTAATTATAAAATAAAAAGAGATTTTAATATAAAATGTATTCATATTTTTTTATTTTTATACTTTGCAACAACAACAAAAAAATAAACCAGATAAAAAAAAGAGAAATATATATATATATATATATATATAATATAAAGGAAGGAAACGTCGTAGGCTACTGTCGCAAGGATATAGACATACACATGGAGACTAAATATTTTAGAAAGATAACGTACAAGACGCAATTTTCAAAAGGAGGAAAAAGGGCACAGCTAAAAATAAAATATTATTATATATATATATATATATTAGAGTCTTATATTGACAAGAAAAAAAAAGGAGCCTTTACTTTGATTAAAAATATTACTCCCATCAAGAGGGAAGGCATTCAATCACTTAATTGAGTACCTTAAAAAAAAATTTTCAGATATTTGGAACTTGTAAAAGTATTTTGAAGGTTGAAAGCGAGATCGTTGAGGAGTTCTATAAATTATAATTATTATTTTTACTTCTTAATTTTTTCTATGATCATTTTTTATAATTGAAGATTTTAGAATGGTGTTATTTGATTTTATTATGTATTTTTAAATTATCCAGTTGTAATAGAGATGTAACCCAATTAAAGAGCTAATTTTTTACTTTCTTTGTTTTAACTCTTTACATTTATATTTATAAATATTTTTACTTTTTAAATTAAATTTATTTCTCTTGCTCTTCATGTTGATTTAATGATTGACCACCATTTAATTAAATCTATGGGTAATTTTGATAGATCAGAGGTGAAGAGAGAGTCAAAATCTAAAGAAATAAACATAAATATCTAAGCTAGGGATAGTTCTAAAAATTTGTGGTGATTTAAACTATAACTTCACGATTTAATTAGTTGTTTGAATATTGTGAGAAGGAGTTCGACGCTAATTAAAAAGGGATTAATAATTTAAGAGAATATTAAGATATTTTAAAAATAATTGTTACTACAAGTGATTAGAGTCAACTCAAAGAGTAGAAACTAACAACTTATAGGGTGAATTTTAAACTCCAACACTTAAAATGATTATATTTTCATCATCATTATTTTCTTGATTTATTTTTATTTTTTATATTTTTATCAAAATTATTTATTTTATTTATTTTCTTGAACTATTAATTATTTAAATAAAATTGTAACTTTTCTATGAGTTTAACATCTAAAATATTTTAAAAAATTTATTATTGTAATTTTATACACCTGAGCGTTCAATGTTAGCCTGGCCCGATCTGCATAGAGCTCGACGCGAGGGTTGATGGCAATGGCCTGAGTGAGTAGGTCTACGACGATCTCGGAGAAGACGCGGGGAGAGAGCAAAAATGGGTGAGGACGGCAATTTCAAATATTTTACTATTCTGGACCTTTACTTGATCTTATAAAAAGATGAAATTGGGGGCATTTTGTCAGTGCACTGTTCATTCACTGTTTACATGGACATCCCAAATTTATGAAGGTATTGGATTAATTCCCATGATCCACGGTCTTGCCAATATAGAAGAAATTTGAGCAACCCCCAGCCGAAAGGTACAGGGACCTGAATTTTATATATTTTTTAAGAAAAATTGCAAAAAATAATTAACGAAAGAACTTTAAGAAAGACATGCTTACTACTGGCATACAAACTAACATGTCAAGTATATAGAGGTAAATAGATACTCACAGTGGCGGTGCCAGAACCTTGCGCCAAGAGGTGTAACATTTTTATAATTAATAATTTAAAAATTATTTAGTAATTAAAAAAAAAGCCATATACATACCTTACAATTGTACCTTACGTGCTGGAATTGTTAAGCAATTATCAATATATCTTTTTCAGTATAAATTACTAGACAATTATTCATCAATGAATCTTTCATACGATTTCACAACTGATTTTTCATAAACTTCATAGTAGAAAAAGCTTTTTCTATTATTGCTATGGCAACTGGTAATATCATTGTTAATTTCAAGAGAGTATAAACTAAGAGATAAATTATATTTTTTCTTGTTTACACCAATTTTTGTGCAAGACTATCAATTCCTTTTAATGATGCAAATTCAATATTTCTTTGCATATCAATTATGTAAATCTCAAATTGATTATCAAGTATTATTAATTTTTTTTAGAATCCAACCATTTTAAAGTTGGTCTAGAGGTGTAAAATATTTAGGTCAAATGGTGCAAAATAATAAAACATATCACATCTTCTTTGTAATTTTCTCTAAAGACCTGCCCCTTGAATTGAACACAGCATCGCCCATGTATTCTCATGTATATTACCTATAAGTGCCACCTTTCTTAAAATCTTAAATATAATATATTTTTGAGTAAAACTTAACATTTAAAGACTAATTTAAGATATAGGTTTATTTGGTGCAGGATCTCACTGAATTATAGTACATGTGTGTGTGCGTGTGTCTTGTAATAATGGAAAATGGTTGATCTACTTTTTATATTTTTCTTGTTTACTTCCTTTCTTTCAAAATGTACTTGATATTTTGGTAACTTTTGATTTTGTTCACTCAATCACCAATCACAAATTTATCTTCTTTAATTTTCTTTTAAATTATTTTTAAATCTTTGAATGTTCATATTTTTAGAAATGTAGCGCTTGATGGAGACTAGAGCAATCATATAGGTGTGTGTATTACTAGTATTTTATTTTATTTTATTTTTGGACCTCGGAGTCTTTTATAATAGTTGGCATGAATCACTACTTTCCTCATGGGATTTAAATAAGAAGCAACTGCTATTATTATTACTGTTGCTACTACTGTTATTGATGCTATTACTGCTGTTGCTGCTACTTTTATTGCTATTGTCACCGCCTACTACTACTACATTGCCAGAGTCCTCTGGAGTAATAGCATCATTGATCAAATAAAAGAACACATTGTTAATATGTAAAAGGACAAGTGGGAGTAACTTTTAATTTGAAACAAAATTATATTTCGAGAATAGGGAGGGGTTAGCATAAGAAGAAGAATCCTTCATTATTAAGTTATGTATACTTTTGGAATGAAATTCCGAGAATAAGAAGGGGTCGGCAGAAGAAGAAGACGAATCCTTTACGAGTATCTGTGAAGAAACTAATAATGAATAATTCATTTCTATTATAAATGCCTCTTGGGTTGAGAAAAATACAATCAGGTGGGCAAATGCCTCACGTAATCTGAGCAACGAAATCTGGGCTATAAACGGATATATATAGCCTAGAAAAACAAGGAAGAATAAAGAAATAAAGAAACAAAGAAAACACAAAAACATGCTATCCAGGCCCAAACACCTAACCACAAAATCGGCCCACAACTCTCAGCACTCCCCCTCAAGTTAGAACCGAAAACATTCAATGTTCCTAACTTGGAAAGTAATTTTTCATGAGCCTTTCTTCCCAATGCTTTAGTTAAAATATCAGCCTGTTTATCCGTTGAAGCCACATGTTGTAATGAAATTAAACCACTTTGCAACTTTTCTTTAACAAAATAACAGTCTATCTCAATGTGATTTGTTCTTTTATGATAAACTGGATTTGAAGCAATCTGGATTGCTGCCTTGCTGTCACAAAATACAGAAACATTACGAACATTCAAATCTTTCAATAATCCATCTAACCAAATAATTTCAGAAACTATACTTCCTAAAGCTCTATATTCTGCCTCAACAGAAGACTTGAAAATCGTGCTTTGTTTCTTGAATTTCCTAGCAATAATAGCTCATCCGAGTTTAATCAAATAATCTGTTACAGATCTACAAGATTCTAAACATAAAGCCCAGTCAAAATCACAAAATCCCTCAAGCTTTATATCTCCTGAAGATGGAAAGAAAATGCCTCTACCCGGATCCTTTTTCAAGTATTTAACAGTATTTAAAGCGGCCTTTGAGTGAGATTTTATAGGACTCTACATAAATTGGCTCAATAATTGCACTGCATAGCTAATATCAGGCCTGGTTGTGGTTAAGTATAGTAATGTACCTATAAGGTGCCTATATCTAGTTGGATCCTGTAATTCATCATCTTTCTCCCCCTTTCCAAGTAAACTATACAGTTTCAGACCAGGATTGATTGGCATATTTCTAAGTTTATAAGCACCCAACCCAGTAGTAAGTAAAGAGTATATTTTCTTTGATTGAGAAGCAATCCTTTAGAAGAATGAGCAATTTCAATTCCAAGAAAATACTTTAAGGGACCCAGATCCTTCATTTTTAAATTCTTATGAAGATAAGCCTTTATGTCCTCTATACCTTCAACATTGTTTCCAGTTGTAACAAGGTCATCAACATAAGCAAGAACAATAACAAAATCATTTTCATGATGTTTAGTAAACAAGGAGTAATCAAATTTAGATTGTACAAAGCCTCCAGCAGTTAAGGCATCACACAATTTTGCATTCCGTTGTCTAGTAGCTTGTTTTAAACCATACAAGGACTTAATCAACCGACAAACTTTCTTCTCCCCCTGTCTACTAAACCCTAAAGGTATTTTCACATATACTTCTTTAGTTAAATCTCCCTATAGAAAGGCATTATCCATGTCCATCTGAAACAAATTTCAGTTATATTTAGCCGCTAGAGCTAAAACAGCATGAACGTGTTCATTTTAACAGCAGGAGTTTCTAAATAGTCTATCCCTTCTATTTGACTAAAACCCTTTGCTACTTACATAGCTTTAATTTATTTAGGCTCCCATCAGCATTATATTTCTTTTTGAACACCTATTTACAACCTATGGCTTTCTTACCAGGGGTAAATCTGTTATTTCCCAAGTCTTATTCCTTTCTAAAGCACTGATTTCATCTTTCATTGCTTTGATCCACCTATCGTCTTTTATTGCTTCATCAAAAGTATTTGGTTCACTTATCTCATCTGTACATGCTATAAACTTTTTGTATGACTGGGAAATATTAATATAATTAATAGTATAATTAATACTATGTTGCATTAGGTATAAAACCTTTTTATTCCCTTTACTATCAATCTTATTAACAAACTCCAGACTAGAACAATCATAATCCTTGAGCCAACTGGGTGTTTTTCTAATTCTAACAGGTCTGCTATTATCTAAAGAAGTATTGTCTTGTGGAGTATGAACATCGGTATTATTCTCATGTACAGAATCAGTAATATTACATATAGGATCAGGACAAGCAAATTGTATTAGGAACATCATTAATGTAAAAAATAAAAGGGTCTTGTGCAATTACCTGATCTCATCTTTGATGATCAGGTTCCTTTTTCGAAAAAGAAAATTGATTTTCAAGGAAAACAACATCCCTATTCACAAATGCATTGTCATTCTCAATGTCATAAAGAATATACCCTTTTTGATTACTTGAGTAACCCAAGAAAACACAAGTATCAAATCTAGTTTCAAATTTTTCTAATCTGCCAGGAGTCTTAGCATGAGCTAAACAACCAAAAACTCTTAAAGAAGACAGATCTGGTTCTTTCTTATACAATAATTCATAAGGAGATTTATAATTTAAGGCTTTAGAAGGAATTCTATTAATTAAGTAAACATCAATTTTAACAGCTTCCCCCCAGAATTTTATTGGGATTTTGCTTGAAAAATTAGACTTCTAGAAACATCTAAGATGTGTCTCTGTTTCCTCTCAACAAGCCCATTTTGTTTTGGTGTATAAGCACAAGTAGTTTCATGAATAATGCCATATTCCAAGAAATAGTTAGAAACGTCATGATTTAGAAACTCAGATCCATTATCACTGTGGACACGCTTAATTTTAGCATCAAATTGGTTTGTCACCAAGTTGGAAAAAAAAAAAATTCAAGTGATAAAAGTTTCATGCTTATTGTGCAGCAAATAAATCCATGTTACGTGAGTAAAATCATCCACAATAGTAAAAAAAATCTATATCCCTAATGGGTTGGCTCCTTGTAAGGACCTCAGATATCAACATGTAGTAATTCAAAGCAAGAAGCAGTTTTTATTTCACTAAAAGGAAAAGGCAAGTGAGTTTGCTTGGCTTTAAAACATACATCACATTTAGAAGTATCAGCAAAAAACAAATGGTCCTTTAAAGGAGTAATATGTCTAAGTATGGAATCTGAAGGGTGTCCTAATCTTAAATGCCAAATAATATTATCGATAGCTAGTTTAGTAGAAAAACATTAGACAGGGGAGAGCTTTCATCCACAATATACAATCCAGAATAGATTCTACTAATCACTTTCATACTACCACTGTAGAGCCCCTGTAAGACACAAATATTAGGAAAGAAAGCCACAAGACACTTTTTCATCTGTAAGACAAGACATAGAAATTAAATCATAGCAAATTCCTGAGGCATATAGAACATTGTTTAATACAACATCATAGAATAATCTACAACACCAACATGTGTGACAGGCAATCTAGCTGAATTAGGAATTTCAATATGAAGAGGGGATCCAACATACTTTTGATAGTGATCAAGGTAAAACAGATTACTCACAACACGACAAGTTGCTCTTGAGTCTAAAATCCAGCATGCACGTAATTCATGTGTGGAGGATAAAGTAGTGGGAATCAAACTTGAAGATTCCTCTGAGTCCTTTACAGTTCCTGTTCCAACAGATTTTGTATTTGTTAGTGAAAGTGTCTTAATTTCCTTTTTCAGATTCTCAATGATTCGTTCATAATCCTTCAGAGATAGCATTTTTTGTTTGGTGGATGAGTCACACTGTTGTCCTGACACATTAAGAGAAGCAAGAGCGTCGTTGTGAGTTTCTTGTTTATATGGGTTGCCACAATTTCTACTTCCTTGATAGTTTGATGGAAAACCAACAAGATGATAGCAAGAGTCCTTGGTGTGTCCTCTTTTCCAACAAGATGATAGCAAGAGTCCTTGGTGTGTCCTCTTTTACGACAATAAGTGCATTCATTAGGAATATCACTTCGAGCACGTCCCCTACCAAATCTTCCTTTGCCTCGAGTTGCCATGGCAGAATAATCAGATGGTTGAGAAGACGATGTTAAAGAACGCTAAGATTCTTCTTGCGAGATTATTGCATGGGCCTGATTCACTGATAGTAGTGGAGTCATGAGAAGAATCTGACTGCGAACGGGTTGATCAGAATCATTGAGCCCCATCAAAACTAAAAAAAAAATTGTTATTGGATGTTCTTGGCGTATTCTACTGATGAGGTGCTTTTACAAGTGGGTATATGTACGACAGTGGCATACTCCTCCCATAGTTCCTTGAGTTTGGTAAAGTACCTGGAAACGGACATACCTCCTTAATTAATGGAGTTAAGAAGATGATGGAGATTGTAGATCTTGGTTCCATCAGTGATGTTGAATCTTTCACGTAAATCATTCCAGACTAGAAGTGCATTTCTGACTAAGTAATGCTTACTACAATTTCTTTAGAGACAGAATTAACTAACCAAGAGAGAACTACTGCATTACAACGGTCCTATTGAGCTCGGAGATTCTCAGCCTGAGCATCTCGTCTGCAAGATCCGTCAACTAGGCTGATTTTATTCTTCGCTTGTAAAGCCATCCGCATAGCTCGACTCCATATCCCGTAGTTGGTAGTGCCGGTGAGTGGTTGAGCGATGAGCGTGATAGCTTGAGTATCTGAGGGATGAAGGTAGAGAGGATGATTGAGGTCAAGAACGGAAGTGAAGGATTGATTGGAAGAAGAATCTAAATCAGTCATGGTGATGGTTGAAGATCAATGGAGAAGCGAGGAGGAAGATGATGGCCAAAAAGTCAAGAACGTGATGTGAGCAAGAACGCGATGTGAGAGTTAGGGCACGGATGAAAAGGAGGGATTGAGGTAAACATATGGGTCAATAATATGGACCCAACTCGGATGCCATGTGAAGAAACTGATAATGAATAATTCATTTCTGTTATAAATGCCTTTTGGGCTGAGAAAATTACAATCAGGTAGGCAATGCCTCACGTAATCTGAGCAACAAAATCTGGGCTATAAACGGATATATATATATATATATATATATAGCCTAGAAAAATAAGAAAGAATAAAGAAACAAGGAAAACACAAACACCACGCTATCCAAGGCCAAACAGCTAACCACAAAATTGGCCCACAACTCTCTAACTCTCAACAGTATCTCTCAATAGTCAATAGTTAGCTGGGCGCATGTATTGGTTAGATCTTGTTGGAAATTATACTAACACTTCTCTTATATATTCTATTTATAGTGCAGAGATAAAGTATTTATTTAAATTTTATTTATATGATACTTCAATAATTATTATATTTATTTTTATTTTTTGTTCTTATTAAATGTTAAAAATATCATTAAATACTAGAGTATATATTTTATTATTGAAGTATGTATATTTAATAGAGATAAAGTTAAAAATTTATTAAATTTTTAAACAAAGTTAACAAAATTTAAAGTTTTTCTCGGTTCTAGTAAAAATTTCAAAATGACTTATAAATATAATTAGGGTGAGTAATTCTTAATACAATGAACAGTTGGGTTTTTTGAGGGAGAAGTATAGGGAATTGAAGATTCCCTTTAACAATCATTGAGAGCACAGTGATGAAAATAATTTGTCTAGTATTATTTCAACTTACTTGAGTTTAGAAGTTAATTAAATATATATCCATTTTATCTCTATATCATTTAAAAATGAATAATTAGTACAGGACGCATGGGTTAATTACTATGATCATAGTTACAAATTAGCAATACAAGTGAGAAAATAAAATATGATTGATCATGAAAATCACTCTCACACACGGACGCACACATGTATCATTCACATAATCATTATATATTTAAAATTCATTCTCAACAAATGTTTAATGATTTATATTACTTTAGTGTTTTCACAGTAGATATTTTGTCACATGTTAACTTATCTTGTAGATAGTATATTTTTAATATGAAAAGTCATGATCACTAGCTACTCGATCGATGAGATACACACTGCCCGCTTAATTAATAGTACAACCATCATCTTTATGGATTCTTGCATGTCAATTCCACTCCCCAGAGACTAATAACCAGGGCTTTGAATATGAATAAAAAATGATTACATAATTTAATAGAGAAAGAGAAGGAAAAAAGAAAAAAAATGATAATGCTTCAATTCATATCTCACGTATATCATTTTTATATTTAACAAATAAAAAAGTGAGGTTTGTTACTATAGAATATCATAAATATGTAAATTAGGATTTTAATATTAATTCTATATATCGTAATCTTGATGACATGTGCATCGCAAGTGTGAGATTCGTGCTAATCTTGATGGCACGTGTATCGCACATGATTAGTGCTAATCTTGATGGCACGTGCATCGCAAAGTATTAATCTTGATAACACATGCATTGCACGGGATTGGCGTTAATCTTGATAACACATTTATAGGCACAATTGCAACCTTTAAGATGTGAGATTAGCCCATCAAAGATGGAGCTGCCAAATTTGAATTATTTAAATCTTAGTTATAATGAATTTCAGTAGGAGTGAAATTCTCAAATTTTTAGTTTTCTCACTAAATTAAGATACATTGATCTCTTTGATTCTTCTTTTGGTAGAGAAATACCAATTGAACTTGGCAAGCTTTCAAACTTGTAGGTTCTAGATCTTTTCCACAGTGATTTAGTTGGTAGCATTTCTTTCTAACTTGGGAACCTTTCAAGTTTGCAAGAGCTCCATTTGGATTGGAATAAATTAGTTGGCATTATTTCTTACCAACTTGGTAATCTTTCAAGCTTGGAGGAGATTCTTTGGATTGGCAGCAATGATTATTTGAAAATTGATGATAAGAGTCTAGCTAGCATTGAATGGCTTTTTAATCATCGGTCTTTAACTTCACTTGATTTAAGCTCTGTTTCCAATTTTAATTACTCTAACAACTTGTTAATTATTGGGAAGCTTTCAAGCCCAAGAGAGCTACGGCTACAAAATTGTAGTTTGACTGATGTTAATATTCAATCCATTCCTCCGTTTCATTTGAATTTTTCTACATCTCATGTAACTCTTGATCTTGATTACAACAAGCTCACTTCATCAATGTTCCCTTGACCATTCAATCAAAGCTCCAATCTTGCAAAACTTTATCTTTACTACAATTACTGGGTGCTCCCCTTCCAAATGATTTTGGAAAAAAAACACATGAATTTTTTAGCAAATCTCGACCTTTCATATAATGACCTAAATGGAACAATCAACGATTTTCATTTTGACAATCTCACCAAATTACAATATTTATATTTATCTCATAATTCGTTGACCATTAAATTTAGTTACAATTGGATTCCTCATTTTCAATTACAAAAAATTTATTCTTATTCAATAGCAAATCGGAGCCTAGATTCCCAAAATGGCTTTGCAATCAAATAATTTACAATATTTATAAGTTTCTCATGTTGAAATTAGCGATTCTATTCCTGAGTGTTTTGGGAAACTTGCAATGAGGGTGTGGCATTTATATATAGAATTGAGCGATATCAAAGGCGCCATCCCAAATTTGCCACTTAAAGTAACTGAATTTGTGAGAATCTCAGTGGTTTCAAATGAAATAGAAGGTCCGGTTTCTACTATTCTTGTCAGCCGCAACATACGAAGATGTTTCAAGAAATCAACTTTCCAATTTTTCTCCATCTGGCGAAGGGACAAGTTCTTCAATTGTTCAAAATTAAACTTAGGAGCATTAAATCTCTCAATTAAGTAATAAATTATTGGGGATAATTCTTGATTGTTGGAAAGGTAAAGGTGCATGATTTGGCCTCACAAGTGCACAAAATCGATGTAGTAATAAATCCCGAAGTATTCTAAAAGTTGAATTTAGAGGAAGATAGTGATTTTTGTTATTTAAGAAAACAAGTTAGAGTTTTGAAAAGAGATTTAAATTAAATGATGCAATTAAATAAGAAAATAATAAACATGATGAGATGATGAACCAACCAGCGAGACGAATTCCAAGGATTAAGATTCACCTATCAAGATAGATTATTCTAATTCAATTAATTATTTTCCTTTCTTTTATAGTGACAATAGTTTCTAAGGTGTCATAATTACCTTTCAGTATATTATAATGCATTTAATTAGAGTTAAATTTAGCTCTCACTAAATTCTACTTTCTAACTAAATTATGAAGCTACGATCTAAACCACCATAAATTCCTAAATTATTCATAATTTAGTTATATGTGTCTATTTCTCTTGATCTGGGTAAGTTTTTTACCTTTTAGTTTACCATACTACCCACAAACAATTTATATAGTGGTCAATCTATATGAAAAATAATTAAAATGAAAGAGATAGATATAAAAGTAAATATAAATTCTCATAGACAAAATTCAATGTTTAACGAAAAAAATAAAATAACCATATAAAAAGAAAATTCATCCTAGTCAAACTACTTTCTACCCTGATTGAGAGTTTAGTAAGAACTCATAGAGTTAAAATTACAATCCTATATAGAAAACATGAACATATTTTAAAGAAGAAGAAAAGAGAAAAAGATCTTAGTTCAGAAGACTCTTTTAGATTTCGTAATATGCCTCATAGTCTTCATATATAAGATTGGATGCCTTTTGAATGGGCCTTAGATCTTATCTATAGACTTTTTCCCATATTTTTCTTGAATGATTCCTGGCTAAATGCAATCACAAGATATCTTTTGATCCCCTTTGATATGATTCTGTCCCTAGTGATATCCTTGTGCAAGTATCCTTTGCTTTTATATATATATATATATATATATTAGTTTACTTGCTCCTTCTTGTTATATACATGGGTGTATTTTCTTTTCTTTTTCCTCTTTGATTTCAATTATTTTTTTTCTACAAAATACAAAAACAAATAGATATGAGTAGATTTTGTAGTAAAGATTTCTCTTTATCTTATAATTAAGTAATAGGAAGAAAATCTAGAGAAATTAGTTAAGTAGTTATAAAATAATAATAAATATAATCAAATATAGTCTAAAATATATAACTATTTATCAGTAAAATACACTCCTACCAGTGTAAATTTAATCACCAACTATTTTTTGAGTACCATTGGATAGCCTATATTATGAGGTAATGTAAAATAAATCATGAACTTTTAGAAATGAAGTGCTAGCACCTTCCATTAATTTTCAATTAACAAATGTTAGTTGACTAGTTGAATGTGCTATTTTCACCCAATATCTGTCTATGTGGCTATACATATGGCAAAATTATCCCACATGGTGTCTTTGTGGTTGAGGTAAAGAACCAATCCCTAACCTTCCATCAAACCTAACCTAACCAGGGAAAGCCTTCTTGTGGGTATGCCGATTGTCACTCCCTCCATCATCGGCTCACCCTCACTCATTTGCCGTTAGTGCCACTGCTGAGGGCCCCATCTTTACCTCTCACTTCTTTCTCTCAACTTTTTGACTTTCTCTATTTTTGCCACTACCCCTCTCCATCTTGGCCCCTTCTTTTTCATTCTCCCTCTCTTCCTGACATTCTAGATACTACGATCTTGTTGCTGGCATGCAAATGTGGTCTTCCATTTTTCTTTTAGGCTAGTTCATCTCCATTTATCGTTTTCTTCCCTTGCTCTTCTCCATTTATCTCATTCTCATTCTACGTGCTATTTGGCTGGGTCTTGCATGCTGCCTTGTTAAATGATGGTTTCTTGAAGTTAAGTTACATTAAAGCTTGGCCATATTGAAGCTCTCCCTTTATCTCCTAATTCTTGCCAAATTATTCTGATGGATGTTGGTTTTTATGTTAATTCTTGTTAGGTCTATTTATCTCAAATTATACTTGCAAACCAATGGCTGGTTTACTTGAGGTAATGAAGGAGGATTTTTCTCAAATCAAGGATGTTATCCCTCACTTGCATTTCAGTAATTGCTAACACTAATGAGAATCATGCTTTAATTGTAAATATCTCTATAAATTTTGTTTAT